ATGGTTGTCCAATAACTTTAAAACTTACACTGTTGGAGTGGCATAAGGAGGCTATATTAGAAGACTTCTAAGTTCGCTTCCAGTGCTATGATTCTATGGTTCCATTTTGTGTATGGGTCCTCCAGAAAATTTCTTTAGCCTTCCTTAGCAACCTTCCAGAAGTGGCAAACATTAACCCATGTCCTAGGGTACTGAGAGTTATGGGCACTATATCAAACACATCTAGACAACATTCAGATAAGGAACTGTCCATGTGGCTCAACATTGTTTGCCCTGTTATAAGAATCCTTCAGCTGATGTTTTTCTGACCAACATTGTCTTGGAAAATCTAAATAAAGTGAGCATCCATAATATTTGTGCATTTATTTTATAATAAAATTAAGTGGCAGGAATAATTAGTTTAGTGTAGTGACTAAACTATTAGTCAAAGATTGGGAAGATCCAGGCTGAAGTCCCCCCTTAATTATGGAAATAGAATCGGGAACTTTAGGCCAGGTAGCCTCTCTCAGCCCAACCTACATTTATTGTTGCTTTGGTAAATTGAAGAGGGATCCCCATGGAAATCACCTTGTTCTTTTGGAGGAAAGGTAGAATATAAATTTAGTAAGTGAAAAATTAATATGATCGAGGATTATAAAACCATCTATATTTGAAGAGGTTTTGTGTATATTTTTAGGCTTACAACTCTGCTCTGGAATTAAGTAATGAGACTGACTGGCTTTAAAGTGACAAAATAAACCATTTCATCATAAAATTCAGGATGTTACAATGAGGTTAGGTACATTGAAGAAGAGTAAGGCAGTCTTAATGTTTAATGAGTTGAAAACCTAGCTGCTGCATGCGTACAACAGGCTACGCTTGAGTAGGGATAATCTTACTTTCCTTTATGTATCCTAGTGGGTCGGACAAAAATAGTCCATGTGTTTGTTTCATTCTTATAGTAAATATATCATGAAAATCCATAAACAGGATAATGTTATTCAGTAACCATATAAAATACATTATGTAAATGCAACCAGTGACTATTAGGCTTTATGGCTGGTGTGAGATCTCCTGTTTGTCATCCGATTAATAGAAGCTACAGATAATGGAGAATTCCAGCTTTTCCCCTGACTCAGAAGAAATGTACGACTTGACAATTCCTACTGTTGCATTGGCTTCTATGCAGATAATTAATTGCATGAAAAACATATCCACCTGATAAATTAATTCTATCTTATCCATGCAGATATCAAATATGACAGTCCTTTTAGATGTCCTTCTTTTACTCTAACTCTGCAGCATTTTATGTACATTAAAATAATTTTCTCTTTGGATTTTGCAGGTCTCTCATTCTACACTCGAGTGCTTGAGAACTGTGAGAATGAAGCTCCATTTGATGAGGTAAGGAAGGAATTTCTGAATTGGAGAAAGGTTGGGAAAATTGGAGAATTGTGGCACCTTTGTATTCTCCCACTACTTCAGACCTGCAAACAAGCTGCTCTGTATTCTGTTTTGGCAACTGTGCTCCATCAGTATATAGGCAAGTCACGCTCTTGTAAGATGGGAGCAGTGGTGGGATTCAAATAATTTAACAACCGGTTCCCTGCCCTAATAACCAGCTGGGTAGGTGTGGCTAGAT